AATATAAGTGGATTTAAGTTTATAATTAAGTAACTATTAATAAAATATCTTTGCTTACTTTAGCCTTAATTCGTTAATTACAAATCAATAACTTTCATTCCTAAGGTGATATTTTATGTTATTATAGGTTTGTATAAAAAGTTAAATTACATAATATTAGTTTTATATATTTAGTTTCCATTAGTTAAGGCCTCATAAAACAATTATATTTTCATTTAAAGTAGCTTTCGTTAAGGTGAAATGAACTGGTAGCTTAAACTGACATAAGATAAAAGCAAAAACCGGAATAAAATAAGATGTTATCTCATAAATATAGTCACATATTTATCATACTATAAGATAAGTTAACTTTACTATAGCGGATTTCACTTTTTTAATTTAGTCCTATTTAATTGAACTAATTGTATTAAGAGGGCTTGGTTTTTTAACCTAGTTTTGTATTATCTTTTAATATTAATTCAGATAAAATTTGTAATTATTCATTTAATAGTTGATTCGTATGAGTATTGCCTTTATTTTTAAGATTTATTAATAAATCCATTTAGAAACAATAAACCGCTAACCAAATCAGCTATCTCAAAATAGAGTAAAGAGAAATTAACAACAAGCTGCTGTATATACTTGCACAAAGCGGGATTCTTTAAGCATCGTATAGTAACTTGTTTTCAAAATGTCTTTGCATAAAATAAGATCCATGATAGAGCCCAAATTTCACAGATTTATCACGTATTCGTGAAATCATAAAAAGCAAGAATAAAGAAAATTATGCATTGCAATTTTGAATTCTTTAGTACATGAAAGACCAAATGCAAAAAGGACTCATTCAAAAAGTAGGCCAACCAGAATTGCAAAACTTGTAAGTGATTTGAATATGATCTAATAACGTTAAGTCGTTTTAAATCATTTATCTTCTGACTCGCAAGCCACTATTCTATCTTCTTTACTAGATGCGTCGGCTAGGGTTTAAAAGCATTAAAATGCAATCTGTTCATTACACTTAAAAAAGCAAGGACAACAAAAATTGAAAGGAGATAAAGCTAATTTCAAAAATGATCAGTTTATGCTTGTGATGCAACTGTCATAGTATTATGTGCAAGCCTTAGCTATTAAATAAGCATCTGTTTTAGTTTTCACACTTGTCTTCCATTCATGTGCAATGCGATATACTTTTTGAGGCATTTACAGATAAATTTGGTTTTGGAGGAAAAGTTAAAAATGGATGAATATTCAATGGAAAGAATTAAAGGAATAAAGTTAAAAGTATTTTAGCAATTTTGTTTTAGAAAATAGACGGACTTTCAATGACTTCGACCGCCAAGTATCACAGAAAAGAAAATTGTAAAAATATGTTATCATCTTCCAACCCACAAAAGAAAGCAATTAGAATCATAGAATAAAACAGAACTCAAGTTAGTTTGAGCAGGAGCAGTATGCTGATAGAAAATTGTATGGATTTCTCTACGTAAGGATGTCTTGATAATGGGCCACCATCTACTCATTCAATTTTAAAGAAGTAAAAATAAGCCCAAAAGGATATTTGTCTCGAGATTTTTAGCACAACATTTCGTTCATTAAAATTTACTTAGCTATCTGCAATGGGATTAAATGATGACTAATTATGACTTCACTCATATCATTTTTGCGCATAGATTGATTACAGTAAGGAGTCCATTAGCACGGAGAAAATATCAATTTATAAAGGTGATAAAATTCGAGGCAAATGTTGGCAAATATCTAAAAATAATAGAAATAAAAACATATATTTATGATGATATATTAATTCTATGGAAAAACTCTAAATAAAGTTCTGCCATCCTTTTTGCGGTTTAATATCCTTTAATTATTATATTAAAATTTAAACCTGTTCAGCAGTAGTGTATAATTATATATAAAAAGATTATGACTTGAAATGGCTATTAGAAAAAATAACCATTATTAATTGATTGATAAATTTAAATAAAGTATTTGTGCTTAAGGCTTTATAGACTATTGTAGAGTTAGCGGTAAAATAACTGTCAAAACAGATTACATAATTCTGTTTTACTAATATACTTGTCGTACCGTGCTTCTCATTAATTTAGTCTATCGCTAATTTATTTTGTCAAATATATTTGCTCCCAAAAATCGGTCTGAATTATAGAACTAATGAGACATAAAAGTTTAAATCAGTAACTTATATTTACATTACTCAAGTGCAGTAAACATTTTTGCTCGCAAGTTTGATGAATATTCGAGGGTAAATGGCTACATAATTAAGAATAAGAATTATAGAAGTGGGTTGACCTCGTTGTTGCAACTTGGTCTTGCCGTCAGAGAGACTATGTAGAACGCACCTATTCCGAAGTCGTCTGTCATAGTAGTGGGCTTTGTACATTCTAAAACATTTAGCAGGCATCGTAGTCGGCTTTATCAGTGAGTTTTGTCATTTGACGCACTAAGAGAAGTTTATTTGACGGGTTCGTAGCTTGGTGCGACGAATGACAAAACTCACTGATGATGCCGATTAAGATGCATGCGAAACGTTTGAGAATGTACCAAATCCACTGTCTGATGCTGGGAATCAGGACAACTACTATGGCAGATGACTTGGACTAGGTGTGTTCTACTAAGTCTCCCTGACAACAAGACTAAGTTGCTACAACGAGGTCAATACACTTCTATAAATCGACAGGAGACTGCGACCATACCAGAGGCTATAACATCGTGGTCTTCATATCTTTAATGAGAAATATATTAACTTATTAGCCATTCATTTTTATAAAACACATACATAAAGTACTTATCACATGTCATTTTAATTAAAAACAAACTTCCCTTTAAGCATTTTATTTTTTTATATTTAATCATAAATTTTAATATGATTCTGCTTACCAAATGCAATCCAATAAAACTAAAGCAAAAGTTTTTTCTCGGCCTGCGAGGGAAATGTTCTCAGAAATCATTCATTATAGCTTTTCCCATTGGGGTCTTTGTCAGTTTACACAATAAGCATACGAGGGGGATTCTTATACAACTATGTGTGAAGCTGTCGAGCTTCTAATTGGGCGTATGAGAGATTACAGTTATGATCTCTCTTTTTGCATTTGACATTGCTTCCAGATTTTTTTATATTACTATTTGTATTTATTGTATGTTTATCATTAGTAATTTCAGAATTATCATCTAGTGAAGGAGTAGTACTGCATTCTGGGTTGCTTCCAAGAAAATTGATAGATATTACTGTAGATACTAGTGCATTATTATTTGTAGAATTTACAGTGGCAC